CTGAAAAACGGCACGAACTTTCGGACCCACCTAATACATCTTTTTGGAAAGGCCACTTTGAGGCAAATGCTTTTTCTGTAAGCTTATTCAACAGAAGAATTCGAAAGTCTAAAAAAATAAAAACACGGACACCAAAACTATTTCAATTACTGTCCTTACACCAACCAGACTTCAATCTCTAAAAATTCGATCTCTCCTCATACAACAGAGCGAAATCACAATTTCTAGAACGGATTCAAATTATATCACTAAAAAGAGAATCATAGTCGTCTCTTCCTTCACTCTTTTCTTTGTAGGTACATCATCATCATCATCATCATCACGGACCTGCATCAAAAGAACTGCATGGAGAAGTGACACATCATCACGCCACAGGTGAGTTATAACAAATGTGGGCCACCGCTTTCATGATTTTGGTCTAACAGACTCGACAGAGGACAAGTCTGATTTGATTGAATCAAATGCGAAGAGCCAGCTGGGCCATAAGAAAACGCTTTCAAAAAGGTCCTATAGAGCCAAGCGCTCTGACAGTTCAGATCCTTGGTCGATCGAGAATGAGAGAGAAAAATGGAATACTATGCCAAAAGTCCTTAGTCAGGCATCTGCACGCAACAAAGAGGAAAGAGTAAGAGCCAGCGGAATAATAAGGGCTGGCAGAAGACGGGGATACGAGGATTACGACGAGGATCCCCGGCGATGGAGAAATTCTCGCATCAACGACCCTAGCATTGGTGATAAGGATGACGACGAAGATTCTTGGCAGTCTAGGGATCGCGAACGAGAGACCGGAAGAGTAAGAGCCAGCGGAATAATAAGGGCTGACAGAAGACGGGGACACGAGGGGAGAAATTCTCGCATCAACGACCCTAGCAGTGGTGATGAGGAGGACTACGAGGATTCTTGGAAACAGCCTAGGGATCGCGAACAAGTACCTTGGGCATATCCTCCGTCCGGCAGAGCCAGAGACAACTATTAAAGAAGACCATTTTAGGCGAATTTGATTCTAGATTGTGACAGTCAAATCTTTGCCAATTCTTCTCTCACAACACTAAAATAAATTCTCTGTACAAGTGTGTGCAAGTTTATTTAGAAGAAACATAACTATTCTCTTTTGCTACAGGCATAATTCGCGCAATTTTAGGCGCTACACGATTTGGTAATGCTGCAATTGTTTATAATTTATCGCGAGCGCATACTGAACGTACAGAAGTAGAGAATATCACAATCTATGAATGTTGAACACGCTGTGCATTTGTACTCTGCAAGTGTTGACTGAAGGCTTGGCAAATTCCCAGATCGCGTAGTGACCACAATCCGTGAAGATCCCCGGACCCCGTCTCTCACATGGGTAAATCAATTCATGGTCTCAGAACTCTTAGCTGAACACATCCGATCAGATCCAGTTAAATTTGAGTTACATAATAAGTTTGTTGCGCTTCTTCAG